CTTTACAGTATCATGACTCAGTTTCCCTTCCAAAGTATTTAACACAGAATATGCTGTGCTTGTATCAACCAAGAATTCAACTTCTTTTCCTCCCAGCTTAGCTATAACCAGAGGTTCTGCTGGGGAAGAATCCTCCAGTCCCCTTCAGACATGCTGTCCATCCCGGTCCACAGCCAGTTGAGGGACTGGGTTTCCACTTTTCTTCAAATCTGGACAATCCCTTCTCCAGTGCCCTTTCTTTTTGCAGAAAGAACACCGACCATTCCCCTTATCATGCTGGCAATTGTATTTACAACACTTGTGGTGGACATTGTGTTTGCGGCGTTCATGGCAGTTACTGCATTTGTGGGGTGTGTGGCAGCCATCTGCCACCACCTTCAGTACTTTTGCCTTGCCTTTCTGATCCCTATGCCGATACATTGTCCAGGCTATATCCAGTGAATCACCGATCTTTTATTCTCATCTGCCTTTTGCAACTTTTTCCTTATATCTTCTGCAGACTGGCCTATGAACAAATAGACCAAGTGTTTTTTCCCAAGGTCTGAATTGATGTCCGCATCTGTATATTTTCGTATGGCCTATTTTCATATGGCCTCTTTCAGTCTATTCAAGAAGTCTGTCGGGGATTCATTCTTGTCTTGCTTCACCTCATACATTTTTGTCCATTTTACTGCTTTTGGAATACCATGTCTTAAACCATACACCACCCAATCCTGATAGCGTTTCAATGCTTCCATCTTTTCTGGTAAATTGGGATCCCATTTCAGGTCCTCTAAAGGCAATATATTCTTAAATTCCCCTGTGAGTTTTTCCAGATACTAGTAGTAGCTCAATCCCAGTTCAGGCAGTTTGCTTAACCATTTCCTTCTCCATACTATCAAGTAATGTATCCATTATAACTTCCAGGTCATACCAGTCCGGATTTTGTGTTCTTATTCCTCTCTCTACATAAGTAGCCACCTTTTCTGGGTTCTCTCTATATGCCCCCACTGAGGCCTTCCATTGTTGTAACTCAACCAGAGAAAAAGGAACTTTTATCAAAACTGGTCTTTGGTTGCCCATTGCCTGTCTCAGGGGAGCCTCTAAGACATTTTTTCCTTTCCTTGTTCTCGTTCTCCTAGCCACAGGGCTTGGATCTGACAGAGCCTCACCCTTCTCCCCCTTCCCTTCACAGTTGCTGTGAAAACCTTTGCCTTTGTTTTTGGTTTTACTACGGGAGCTTTTTCCTCCTCTGAGGTACTGTCTGATTCGTCATCAGAGGCTTCTGTACCTGTGTCAGTGAGATCACTGTCTCTAGTTTTGAATTTCACGCTCGAAAGGTCAAAGGGGGGAAGGCCCCGCCTTTGCCTCCTCTCAGAGGCTGAGAATGATCTGCTCCTCCTTGGCCTGCCCATCCCCTGATGATATGGGGCAAAAGCTGGAAACGCCCCTAGATGCTGCCCCCCCTCTTCCAGAATGGGAAAACCTGCATACGGGGAGGGGAGGGTTGAGATTACCCCACTCCCAACGTACCCGGTGGGGGGGCAAGGACCGTAAGGGACTGAGACTTGGAATGGGGAAGAGGCGGCTCCAGCTCCGCCCATAATGGTGGAGCCAGAAGCACCGGTTTTTATCAGGGCGGTGACCGCGCCTGTAGGCGCCGCCTCCGTTCCTCCTCCAGCGGCAGCCATTTTGCCTGTCTCTCCCAAGATATCTTGGGCATTTGAGTCAGCGCCGCTTGTAGCCGTGGAGTGTTCTGTGCCTGCACCTGCTGCGGTCCCTGCTCCATCCGCCGGATTCAAGGCGGCTCCTGCCGCCGCTGCTCCAGCACTACTTCCCCCAGCACCTGCCGTAGTGGCTCCCATCGTGGTGTCCACAGGGCGTCCGATCCCCGCTTCTCCCATGGTGGCAGCCATCGCCCCCGTGGCAATAGCTCCGGCTAGGGCTGTTCCCGCGGCTTCTGCCGCCCCCGACCCCGCCGATCTGGCAGGATCCGCGCCCGCTGCGGCTCCCGTCGGTCCTGTGCCAGTGGCCACGCCGGCAGCTGCTGCACCCACCTGTCCCGCGGCTCCCGCCGGTCCTGCAGGACCTGCGCCCGCAGCGCCGGTGGGGGCGCCTGGAGCCCCTGCAGCCCCTGCGGTGCCCACGGCTCCCGCCGGTCCGGCAGCTCCCGCCACTACGCCCACAGCAGCGCCTACAGCCACGCCGGCGGCCCCGGTGCCCGCCTGACCTGTGGCGCCCAGGCTTCCCCCTCGCAAATCAGGAGCAATTAAAATATCTAAATCCTCGTTTGTCGGGCTTTTAACATAAATTTGACTGATGGGGTCACGTTTACTATGGTGTTTCCTCTTTCCTCTCTCTAAAGCCATTTCATAGAATCATAGAATCAGCTGGGTTGGAAGGGACCTTCGAGATCATCAAGTCCAACCCTTGATCCACTACCGCTATGGTTACTAGACCATGGCACTAAGTGCCACATCCAGTCTCTTTTTAAAAATCTCCAGGGACGGAGAATCCACTACTTCCCTGGGCAGCCCATTCCAATGTCTGACCACCCTCTCCGTAAAGAAATTCTTTCTAATATCTAACCTAAACCTCCCCTGGCACAACTTGAGACCATGCCCTCTTGTCTTGCTGATAGTTGCTTGGGAAAAGAGACCAACCCCCACCTGACTACGACCTCCTTTCATGTAGTTGTAGAGAGTGATGAGGTCTCCCCTGAGCCTTCTCCAGGCTGAACACCCCCAGCTCCTTCAGGCTCTCCTCATAGGACTTGTGCTTGAAAAAAAAAAAAAAAAGATCCTTCCACTTTCAGAGCTTTCTGAGAGCTCTGCCTCTGCCACGGCTTTCCCTAATTTATATTCACTTTTCCATTCCAGACAGTTTAATAAAGCCAGAAACAATTCAGCATATGCTAATTCATTTCACTGCTCCTCCTTATGGAGGGTTGACATAAGCTGTAACACTGTATTCATTTGAAAAGAGCCAAACTTTGGCCAAGTCTCCCCTTCCAACAACCCATGCAAAGGCCACATATTTATAGAGATCCTACATAACTTCTGCCTCTTTAAAGATATTTCAGGGCCAGTCAAATGCCTCCAGTGCCACAAAACCAAGGTTAAAGGAGATCCTTTTGGAATCTCTTCCTTTTGGGACTCTACACAACCCATGATGACAACTACCAGGCAGGAAAAAAAACTTCCCAGCACCAGATTTGAACCAGACAGTGGTTCTATGATTTTATAATAAGGTCCATCCAATCCCAGGTTTGTCCACCCCCGATTCTGCCCCATTCTGCCCCCGGACACGCCCCTTCTTCCTCATCTTCATCTTCTTAGCACGTACAGTCCTTGGAGTTCCTCCAGAGTTCTGGGCTTGAAGGTTGCTGTGTCTGGGTGATATCTCCTGGTCCAGGCCTAGGATGCTTTTCTACAATTCTACCTTGAAAAGAGGACTAAACACGCTAATGGAATTTAGAGAGATTGATAAAGGGTAAGGGATATAATGTAGCTACATTAAAAACTACATTTACTATACAACTACTTCTAAAATCTATAAAAGTTACAAAAATCCAAAAAAAGCTCTGAGGCATCAGCATTTCAGGCAAACCTGAGGCTGATCAAGAGTTCAAGTGAGAACGTCTTTCTTTAGGACATTCTCCACCTGACCTTTGTTATTGACATTTTAAAAATTTTAAACAAAATGATAGAATTCATTTGACTTACCATGTTATAGTGATAGTAATACTTGTCACGTCTCATAACCACATTCTGTAGTTGAGAGATGTCTGCTCATCTAGTTTTTAATATTTTTATTCAAAATCGTAAATCCATTCTCCCAGAAAAGTTGTTGACCTTTGAAATGCAGTGCTGTGCAAGTGGAAGAACTTTTATATTTACATTTTTTAGAAGTTGGTGGGTATTTAAAACCTGTATTAAAGGCGAAGTTATAGAATTCTTTTAAATATATATGCATAGGATGGATTCCTGGTTTTTGAAGTTACTGAATTCTATGTAAAAACTATGTTTGTAAATCAATACATTTATAGTTACAGAGCATGAAAATTAATGCTTCTTTAGGAAGAGTGAAATATACTTTTTAATCTTGTTTTTATGCTTATATACAGCATTCTGGTTTTGGAACTCATAATCAGTGGATTAAAATTAATTTTAGCAATAGCCCCTCTTTTGAAAAGTGTCATTTCTGTTCAACTAGCATTGATTACAAAAAAAAGTATTTTTAATGGCCCTCAGTCAATTATCATGAGTATGCTAAGTCCTTGTGTTATGATGCAGTAACTTTTAGTTTTAAAATACTTTATATTTGAAAGTTATATCTCTTATTTTGCTTATATTTCTTTTGGGATGTTAATGGTTTTGAAGGCCTAGAACAGATATGTGTGTAAATTGTGCAAATGAACTTTGAACATCCTTACTTTTTGCCAAAATCAGGTTTTCTTTTCTGGTTTTGGCTGAGGTAGAGTTAATTTTCTTCACAATATGGGACTGTGTTTTGGATTTGTGCTGGAGACAGTGATGATAATAGAGATGTTTTTATTATTGCTGAGCAGAGCTTACACAGAGCCAAGGCCTTTTCTACTTCTCGTACCAACTCACCAGTGAGTGGGCTGGGGGTGCACAACTGACCAAAGGCTAAAATGCTGATTAAAATTAGCTTCATGTGCTGATTAGGATTGCTGTAAACTGTAAATTTAAATTTTCTTATACTATAAACTAATCCTTTCTATGTAGAACATCCACATCTCACTTTCAGCATGTTTCAAAAGTAATACCAAGTTACTCATGCCCTTGGTTGAAGAACTAAACATGAATCTGCTCATGAGTGAACTCTGAAACTAAAAAACTTTGCTATGTAAATTGATGGGTGTATTTGGAAAGAGAGATAAGGAAATAAAGATTAATATCTATCATTGTAAACTTTGATCTTGTTCCATTGTTCTGGAAATTCACTTTATCCTATGAGCTGATCAAAGTTATAAATGTAATTATTTTCTGTTGCAGATGAGCCGACACGTTCCTTGAGTGGTCTCATCTTGAAGAATAATGTTAAAGCACATTTTCACAACTTTCCAAACGGGGTAACCGACTTCATTAAAAGTGAATGTTTGAACAACATTGGTGATTCCTCCCCCTTAATTAGAGCTACTGTAGGTAAGTTTATGTTGGAAAAATCCTTCCTTTAGATTTTAAAGATGGCAAAAATACCTGTAGGACAAGGAAAATGTATAGAGAAGCTTTTTATTGCAGCGTGCTGTGTGTTCCAAGGCCACTCGGGTCTGGAAGCACACCAACCGTTTGAAAATTGCGCCTTTTGTATTCTTTCGGTTACATAAGCTGTTACCTATTCATTGACTTCCGTTTTTTTACCTTAAAAGGTAAGTTTTCTGACCCAGGAGGGGGTGTTACCCTTTCCCTTGATTGATTGTGAAGTACCCCTGTATTAGGGAGGATTTGAGCATACTGAAATCTTGAAACCATGACACCATTGGAAGCTCAACAAAACTGATGTTTATTATCAAGAGGTGGCCAACAAAATGAACAAACCCAAAAAGGAGGAAGGAGGAGAGAAATAAGCCCCTAGCACGACCTCCCCCAGTCACCCAGCTGTTGCCCATAAAGTTATCTCACTGGCCTAGAATGCTTATAATTACCAATAGCAGAAGCTGCATCCTTGGAAAGTCAGTAAGTTCTCAAATTGGCAGGCGTCCCTGCCAAAGGCAACGTTGTCCTTGATGTGAAGCTAACTAACCTCCAAGAAAGTGCTATCTGCTTTTATACAATTGAGTGACCTTTACCTAGGCAGGTGTGGCCATCACCGCCCAACCAGAGGCCCTCAGTCCCACTCCCTTGGTTATGTAAGTGCATCTCTTCTGCGCACGCGTGACTTTCCCTGCACCTGCGTACTGCACTCAGGGGGGTCTTTTCCAAATGAGTCTGGGGGCGTCCCTCATCACTATAGTCTTCAATTTCTCCTTCAAGCAACCTTGGAGAACGATTAACCAATCACAGAACACCAATTAAATATAGTTTATACAAAAACTCCCTTCAAGGACAAGGTTCCTGTTTTATCAGTGCTTGTTTTCTCATAACTTGGCAGGGAAATAACAAAATTTTCACAGGTGGCTGGGCCGAACACAGACCAAAAGTATCAGTGTAAGTAACCCCTGATACAACCCCCCTGGACCTGTACAGAGGGGTCCCCCTGTACACAATAGGCTGCCACATGGCAGAGAGGATACATCTTTATTTATGCATTTTCCCTATTCCCGACTGTGAAAGGTTCCCTGACGTCAGGTCCAGACAGGACCATCCACCTTACAGCCTCTGCGGTACGCCTAAAAAACCTCTTGGTTAAAAAAAACCAAAAACCCACCCCCTTCCATCTTCCTACTAAATTAATTTGCTTATAATAAAAGCAGGTTATTTATTTCTCATAGTTTACTCTTATTGCTGTCTTTTGCACACTGAAAATGTTACTGATACAAGTGAGAGCTGCACTAGTGAGAGTTATTAAACTCCTAAAACTGTTTGCTTCTGATAATTGTCACAACTACACCATGTTTTGATTCTGATATTAATCTTCTGTGTGAAGATACAAATATATTTTTCCTTCCTGTTCTCTTAAAACTGATTTAGCAATTCAGCTCGTATCTCTTTAAATGTGACTGAACATAAGTTTACGTGAATCTACTAAAATTCAACTTGCTGCCAATTTTTATACCTAAAACCAGGAATAATGACTTCAGAACTATTTCAGCACTCCACTTACATCAGTGAAACACTTCTGTTAGCTGATTTCCTCTTTGATCCCCCAAATGCACACCTCTTCAGGGAATCATTACACCAGATGTTACATACATTAACATAATGAGTTTATGCTTTTTAAATAGCTTCTTTCAGAAAACAGTAGATAAAGTGTGGCAATCAGAATATCAGCTACAAGTGTTTTTGTTGAATGTTTTTCTGATTTCCTAAATACTGTATTTTAGTACACCTCTTCCATAACATGGATTTTTACTTATTTCTAGGTGTTGCGACCTGCCCCAGAAGGGGAGGGTAACCCAAGTTCTTATTAATAAATCCCTTGGGGTGGATTAGAGTGAAACTACACTGAATAATTGGTGTTTGTAAACATATATATGTAGGGTTTACTTTGGAACAATTTTGTTTCAAGAGTGTGTTGCCGTTTTGAGTGTTTGTTATCATTCTATAGCAATACAGCACCATGAAAGCATCATAGCAATATTGAAGCATCTATAGCAATATAGCACTATTAAAAGCTGCCGTGATTAAGAAGATATTTGTAGGTTGAGTCACAGGATTCATCCTGATTTCTCCAGCCTTTAGAGGGGTATCTCCAACAAGTACTCATGTCCCTTATCAGTGTTCTAATTCTAAGCAAAACCCACGTTTTTGGAGGATCTCCTGGTCCTTCTTTGCATGTTATAACCTTTGAGCAATTGAATAAAGGACTATCTTCTACTTGAGGCATGGTAAATTTGGGTTCTGTAAATTTGGATTCAAAAAATGCTTGTACAGACCATGCCCACATTAAGTTTTTCCAGTTAATTGGAGTTATATTTTTTGTATTAGGAAGTTGTACACACCAGGAAGGACTAAAAACTGTGGCATATTTACTTTCTTAAACATCTGGCATGTATAATGGGTCAAAGAGTGGGTCCCATGAGTAAATAAGGCAGGGTTGTCTAGCATTACATTCCTCAAAGATGTTCATTCCAGGTTTAAATTCACCTTTACTTGATCTAATAGATGGATGAGGGGATTCAATTTGAGATAAGATGGTTACATTTACTTTTGGACGTATAGTTTTACAATATTTGCAGTGTGACATCCAGTCCTGAGTTATATTAGGAGGTAGGGTGTAAGTTTGGTAAAGGCCATGCACTATAGGAATACTTTTCCAGAGTATTTGGGCTCCGTTGGTCTTGTTTGTCCACTTTTCAGGTAGGGGTAATGGGGCTGTCACACTAGCCATGTTAAAAACAAAAGATAAATTCAATGGTACCATAAAAAATCAGAATCCTTGTTCAGCAGACTCGGGTAAAGTTACACATATACCCTGATTGGTATGATTCCATATTTTTGCAAACACTTTGACTAGTTCCCAGGTGAGGTTCCTTTGATTTTCACTTTTAACAGTCTGTTCTGCTGAGCACATGTACAAGGTAAATAACCATACAAACATAACTAATAAATTATAAGTACAGTTACCAGTAAACTGAACCATAGTCCAAATCTGAGATTATTCATTCACAATTCTGAATACTTTTCTCCGTTGAACAGTTGCCTGTAAAAGAAAAGAAAAAGGTCTGTCTGGCCCCTTTTAGGCCCAACATTAAACTGTAGGAACAATCCACCGAGAGCTTATTTTGTGTTCTTCGCCATAAGCATCTTTTGCTTTCCAGATGTATATGTTCAAGGGAGTGGAGAGTACCATTGGTACAGCACCTACAGAAGGTAGTTCTGCTAATACAGGTTGTCCAGGAAGGTGAGAGGGTTTTTGATTACTCTCAGGTTTTGCTGTTACTGGTATCAGAGAGGGAGGCTGTGGATAAAAAGCTGTGAGTCTAGGACAGCCATTTACTCCCCATTGGTCATTCACCATTTTTACAGCATCCCGTAGTCATTCAGTCCAATTGGATTTCTGAGGTTTTAGAAATCGTTTAAGCAGGCCATTTGTTCTTTTCACTATGCCATTTGCTTGTGGATAATATGGTGTGTGAAATATCCACTGGATTCCTTCTTCCTTGGCCCACTCCTGGATGATGGCAACTGTGAAGTGTGACCTGTTGTCTGATTGGATAGATACAGGTTTTGGGAAAAAACTGAACCACATTTTAAGAGCTTCTAGAGCGTTTGTAGTGGTTGCCCGAGGGAAAGCTTCTGCTTGCACTAATCCTGACCTAACTTCCACTCCCACTAACACATAGTTTTCCCTTAGACTTTCGAAAGGGTCCAATATAGTCTATCTGCCACAGCCCTTTTCTGTCTCTGATATGTAACGGGGGTTGTTCTAAAGGGTGACGCTCGAGTCGTGTTCTGCACTGTTCACATGAGGATATGCAGGTGTGGCACATCTCTCGAGTTACTGGCCATCCCCTGCTTCCTGCTTCTCTGTATAGGTCTTGTGCCCCTGTGTGCTGTCGTTTTAAGTGCAACCACTCTAACAATCTGTCCCAGTTCTCTGTGGGAGTTTTTACACTTAGAGGGGCTAATCTGACCAGTTCATCTACTTTGTTGTTCCAGTGGCTAGCTGGAGTTTCATTTTCCTGGTAAGAGGCTACCTATCCAACTAAAATATTCCCTTTCTTTTCTATAGCAAGAATTTCTTGCCATTTCTCTTTGCCAAACAGGAGCTCTATTCACTTCCCAGTAATTTTTGTCCCAGAAGGGGAGCCACTCAGTACACCCTTTGAACACAGCAAAAGAATCAGTGTAAACATATACAGAGTCAGAGGTTTCAGCTTCATGGTTAAATACACTCCAAACTGCTACTAATTCTCCTACCTGTGCACTGCCTTCTCCTTCGGTTACTATTTTGTCTCCTGTCATCATCATAGCTGGGCTTCGGGAACGAAGATTTGGGAAAGGTCTCTACCCATGTTTGTTACAAGCGCGCTGGTGGCTAAAAAGGCCAATACGAGACAGGCATGTCCGATTGCAAAAGGCACAACAGAAAGACTCCTTAGGTGGTAAATTCTGCACGGCACAATTCTTTCTGCGTTGCCTTTTCTCCTCAAGGGTGATCCTGTGTGCTTTCTCAAAGGCATCAGCCGCGTTATAGATAGTGTGTCTCCAGACCTCCCGATTGGAGACCAGAGTAGACCAGTAAAGGCCACAGGGGTGCGCGCGTCTTGTAACATCTTTTGCCTTGGCATAATAAACTCTTTCTTATCTTTATTATGCCAAGGCAAAAGATGTTACAAGACGCGCGCACTCCTGTGCCCGAGAGGTTACATTTTATAATACCATCCATCCAATCCCAAATGTGTCCACCCTGTGGCCTTTACTCTGGACCGCCCCAGGTCCATCCCCTGAAAATGGGTCTGGGGTGTATTTTGGGACACTCTGTTCATCCCATCTTCACCATCATCAGAGCACAAAGGGTACATAGTCACCCAGTTTTTGAC